AAATTCTCAATAATAGTTAAAAAAACACAGCTGAATGATTAATTTATAAATATCAATGTTTTAGAAGTTATGTATGTAATTGTTCCTTTTTTTGTATTACTACATTGCAGTGCAAAGTTTACACGATCAGTTGAAATGCATCTAATTTAGGGTTACACAGATCGCAGGACTACCTTGTCAAGACCGTTCTCCGAGCAGTGCCACCATTAGAGGAGCGATTCAACATCAGCACAGAGATCAACGACGACGGAGATCTAACGCCGAAGAGCAGGCGCGTGAGCGGCTGGAACTTCGAGGATGGCTTCGAGCGGCTTCCCGTTTTCACGAAAGAGTCATTAGAACATGATGAAGAAAACCGGTTCGAAAAATTGGTTGAAAGTTCCGATCAACAGCGAGAAATGCTCGCGAATGTTGTGGAGAGCTGCGATGGAGTAGTGGAGGAGAGGGAGAAGTGGATGGTTGAGATTGTGAAATATCTGAAGAAGACGGTGGATGGAATGAGCTTGGAACTGCAGAGGGAGAAGAGTAGGAATATAGAGCTGGAAGAGGAGATTAGCAGGTTGGTGGTTGGAAAAAGATGGGAGGAGGAAGAAGACAAGGAATGAAATGTGAATGTTGCTTTTGGATTGTATTTGGAGTTGGTAAAGTTTAGTGCTTTTAATTCGTTTCTGATCAGAAGTTGTTTTGTTGCTGGATGGTATGTTCTGTTGCTTACAATAGTGTTTCTCTTTGAAAATAAGCTGCACGACTATGCGTTAACTTTTATAGGTGTGTTGTTAGGTGTTTTTTTTGGGCTGTATACCCTAGTGCTATATTTATATCTATATAGTGGATCCCGAATTATCTTTTGTGAACACAACTCTAGAGTTAAAGCCGAGTGAATGAAAGAATAAAGTGAACCAAGAGTTCCTGTGGAGAGAATTGGGGCAGTTCAAATGGCCCGGGTTATTCATCTTTTGCCAATGTTTCCTAGGTTGTTGAGTAGGTTTTATGTCAGGTGGTACGAGCAACAAGACGGTCGACTCGAGCCTACTGGCCTTGGCGGGATATACACATGCTCTGACACCTATCACAAAAAAAAAAAAAGTAGTCAGAAAAGAAAGAAGAAGAGAAATGGTTGATCCTTAGTAAATCGACCAGGTTGTTTCTTCTGATGGGTCCGAAAGACGGTTCCCAAAAAAGCTCTGGAAAGTTTTGGTCTGAGCCAAGGCAGGGCTGTGGTTGACTTGTCAGTCACATTCGGTGAAAGCTTCCAATGATCATCGTAGCTCAAGGGCAGAGCTGGCGATTGTCCCTTTGTTGCTGCTCCCAAGGGAAAAGGGAAGATATGCCATAGAGGGAGAGGAAGGTCGTCCCTTGACTTGGTCCAAGCTTAAGAGGCTCATGGGTATGTAAAGAATTTCTTTTGACTTTGGCTGGTGCAGTAACTTAATGTTCCTTTTTAAACATGGATGTGTCGATTGAGAAGAAGGATGTCAAGGTGGCGGACTGTCGAGAGATGTGTTTACTCGGTTCTTGTCATTCCTACAGAGTCCTTTGATGCGATCATCCTCCCCTTTTCCATCGATCGACACGGACGGAGGCTCTAAGCAGGACCAACTGGTGTACCAGAAACCCCCTCATGGGTTAGTTTCATGTTAGGTGCACAAGATGGTAAAGGTTCTACACCATACAACTGAAAAGTTTCGTCGACTCATCTGCGCTGGGAAGGATGGCTCATTGCTAATGTCTGGATGTCACCTTTCAACAACAATCGATTGTCATCGCTTTGACTGAAAGGAGAGTTCGCATCACAACTTGGTTTCCTGAACGACGTCCAAGCTGATATGGGTTCTATTCGCAATTTGGTAGTTAGGAGTTGATTCCATAATGAGGTCGGCCGGATGGAGCAGATTAGGCTTGATGGAGAGATGGTCCTCCAAAGGTTGCTTGAGAAGGGTTATGCCTCATCTGAAGCCACGGAGGACCCATTTATTAAGCATTTTGTTATTATTTGTAATAAAGTAATATTTTGATGAATTTGAAATGACAATTGGTGCGACATTTATGTTTATGTGGCTCTTCGGTTAGCACACCCGCCTCATAAATAGGGTTTGGGGTTGCCTTATTTTGCTTTTGTACTTTGTTTTCTAAGACTTTCAATTTCTCCTTCTTTGTCTTCCGAGACTGTAATGGGTTCGAAGTATTCTCCGATTCATTTTAGCACTGTATCGGCGATCGATCCATTCTTCATGACGAACAAGAGGGTAAAAGACCTCCATGACAGGTATGTGAAGAATTCTCAGATTATTCTCCGCAGGATGTCAGTCGAGGGGTGAACGACAGACAATGTTAGCCCTTATCTGGTGTTCTACCACGATCAGTTTAGGTGCGGTCTCTGGCTACCCATATGGCCTGAGCTCAGGAGCGTCTTAACCAAATACAGTGTTATCCTAGCTCAAGTTCTGTCGAACTCCATTGCAACCATCGTGAATTTCTTCATGTTCTGTTGTCGCTTCAACATTTTCTAGTAGACCAATATTTTCAGCCATTAATTTTCCTTCAAGATCAACAAAGAGGGGTTTGTTATATTTTTGCCTGGGCGAAAGCTTTGCTTGCTTAGTGTTGAAAAGAATATTAAGACTTGTGAAAAAAGTTCTTAATCAGTTTTATGTCTTGCCACTGAAAGATTGTTACCTGCCTGTGAGAAGTGGTGGGTAGTAAGCAGAAGACCTTACCAGCCAATATGCAACCCGTCCAGGAGGTGCTGGAAAGGAGCCCAATGTCGGTTCCCCAATATACTGCAAAACAAATGGTGAACCAAGTGATGGAAGGGAAAATGACCCCGAGTGACTCAAGGGCTTTAGATGCCAACGAGTCTACTAAAGTAAAAGCTGGGAGGAAGAAGAAGACAAGGAATGAAGTATGAATGTTGCTTTTGGATAGTATTTGGAGTCACTAAAGTTTAGTGCTTTTAATTCGTTTCTGATCAAAGGCAGTCATATTGCTGGATGGTATGTTTTATTGCTTACATTAGTCTTTCCTCTTTACAAAATAAGCTACAAAATAGGTTGTACGACTTTGTGTTAACTTTTATAGGTTTGTTCTTAGGCTTTTTTTTGCGCCAAATATTCCTCTTTTGAAAATTTTTGTTTAGGATTTAATATATATATATATATATATATATATATATTTTTTAAAAAAAATATTAATTTTGAAAAGTAACATTTTAATTTCAAAACATGATACTAACAAGATCTCATTTATTTAATAGTTTAAATAAACAAGCACAACACCACGAGTAATGCACCTATCCCAAAGAACAAACACATTACTAGATAATGAGACTCAATTAAATAAACTAATGAATTCATGACATTCATTTAGTATGCGAAACCTTTTAATGTTGACCGACAAGTTCTCTTATCTAATATAAAGATTGGATAGAGTTTATATTACATAGGTTCTTAAAGCTCCCTATAGAGGCAATCTCTTATGGTTAATTACATCTCAAATAACCGAAGTCATTTAAGTAAACTATCGATTTAGATGAAAGGTATTTGTCTTCAAGAATTTCAAAGGATTTCTAGATGGAAAATAAAATGCGTAAACATAAGAAAAATTTGTTATATAATGCTGCTAAATAGGTGGATTAATTTAAAGTTTTGGGTATGACGCCCCTGCTTAAGGTGCTCATGGCCTTCCAACATCCTGGGTTCATCGGTTGCCTAGACTATTAACCAACAAGATAAAAAGACCTATCCACTATTACCATAGTAATGATAAATGTAGATATCCTAAACTATTGAGTGGTTTGAGTTGTCTTCATTAGTAGCTGTGGGTTAATTTATTATAGGGCGCCTACGTAGTCTAAGAGGCTTAAAGGCTCAATATTTTATATAACATAGTCCTTAGTACTAGCTAAGGATATCAAAGTATCTAACTTAAGATTCTAGACTTATACTAGGGGTATGTGTGGACCTAAGTTTTATTTCTAAGTTGGCTAGCCTGGAGTTCACAGTTCATCTGCCTAAGTATGATTTCCCTTATTTATGTTGCTTAATTTTAGTTAGTTTTGGGGGGTTGTTATTTTAACTTTGATTTTAGCTTGTTTTCCTAATTTGTCGATTAACATAAAAATCAAGTGTTGTTGCTTGAAAATTTTGCATTTGGTTTTCTATCTTATGTTGATGTTCTTTTGTGTGGTTTATTATTCTATGTTTGAAATTTATAAGCAACATTCAAAGATAAGATTTTACTACTATGTTATTTAGTTATACTTCCATATTTAAAATTTAAGTCATATTCATATGATTAAATATAAAAGACTTCATTTTTCACATACAAAAATACCTTTTTGTAAGCATAACACACCATAATATATATTTATCATGAAAGAGTGTATTTTATTCTACAAAAATGCTTTAATTAATCATATGAATATATTAAACATTAAATATACAAGTGTTCATAAATTTGTACTATGGTTTTGCATGTATATATGGTTAAACATATAACTTGTAAATTTCTAAACTGAAATTTACAAAGCTATATGTAAACACGTAACTTTTCTGTGGATTTTACACTTAAAACTCCTGTCGTAGATTATGAAACTTAGAAATTTTTTTACAAAAAAAAAAAAAAAAAAAAAAAAAATGAAAAAACTTGATTTAAAGCTAAAATAATATTTTAGAAAAGTAAGCCCAAGATGATGAAATATTTCTTAAGAAAAGTGAAATTAGTTTTTAAGACTTTGAGGAGGTTTTGAAAAATGATTTTCAGAAACTTAATTTACTAGATTTATTTTAAATGATCTTTTACAAATGAAATTGGTTGAACATTAAATAACTCTAAAATTTGGAATTTTAAAACACAACAAACATAGCTTAAGTATTAGAACAAATTTAACTTAAAGTTAATTTAAAAAGAGTTTAGTTGATTTTTAAAACATAACACTTTTGGTTTTTATAAAAACTAAGTTTATTTGAAAAGGGAGGTATGTTGGTTATCCAAAACATAACACTTTTGATTTCTTATAAAAAAATTATTAATTAAAGAACATTTAATTAAAGTTATTCCATAAGGAGTTAGTTTGATTTTTAAAACATAGGAAAAATAAGTTTTGTTAATTAAGCACATTTAATTTAAGTTGTTTCAAAATAATTTCAGGTTGATTTTTAAAACATAACATTTATGATTTCATCAAAGCAAGTTTGTTAATTAGAGCACATTTAATTAAAGTTCTTTTAAAAGGGAGTTAGGTTGGTTAAAAAAAAAAAAACTTTGATTTTATATAAAATTTTTTTGTTAATTAGATCACATTTAATAAAGTTGTTCTAAAAGGGAGTTTGGTTGGTTTTTAAAGCATAACCCTTTTGATTTTGATTTTGTGTGTGTGTGTGTGTGTGTGTGTGTGTGTGTGTGTGTGTGTGTGTTATATAGAACTTTCAATTCAATGTCTCATTGTGTGTGTGTGTGTGTGTGTGTGTGTGTGTTATAGAGCTTTCAATTCAATGTCTCAATTTTTTTTCTTAAAAAAGTTGTTTTCTTCTTTAAAAATTTCATGTAATTTGTTAGTGTAAAATTAATAAAAGATGTGAATTTTCATAAGCTAAATTTATAAACAATCCTAAGCCTTTGCATATGTTTACAAACACCTAATTGCTTCTTGGAGGTGTTGTGGTGGATATAAAGTATTGAATGTTTATTCATTTGTAC